CCCCCCCCCCCCCCCCTAACCCATAAATAGAGCGTTCGTATCATTCGTTCATTCTGGTCATTCGCATTCATCATGACAGCTTAATCTTCTGAAATTGTGATCGAGTATAATGTATATAGATATTGATTGAGCTTTGCGGTCTATATGTAAATATTTTTTGGAAATATCCAATTCATTTTTGCTCATCAGTATACTGCGACATATACTACTGAAATTCCTCATACGCTCTTCTTTGTTGTGAATCTTTGCTGTGATAGCTTATAACAAAATTTCAGAATTTAAAAATAAATAATGCTGTGTGATTCATCAAGGAATCTAAAAAAATCAAACTGTTCATGCACAATCTAGGATCGAAGTTGGTCAAGAGACAAGTAGCGCATTATCATGGGATCTGGGATCTACTCCCGAACTTGCCCAGGCCGAGCAAGCCATCTATCCCTCCAAGTTTCGTGGGCTGGCACCAGGCTTGTCCAGGAGGATAAAAGCACTGACTTGAACATCGGCTGGCCATAGTAAGTCATTGTATAGGTTACTCGCATTGCATAAGCCACATTCAAGCGTCACTGCGATGTTTAGTGGAAGTCTAAAATTGAGGCGCTTCAAAATCAACACTCGAATTTATACTTTGTACTGTATGCATAATTTGAACCTATAGCTGTCAAGCTGTGATAATATGATGTTCATTCATCTTGGAATGAGCCTGAAAATTCAATTTACGTCACTCTCAGTTTTTTTTGTTTAACATCCCCACGGAGTGGTTCGATGAGAATGAGGAGATGTCTGATGTACATCTGTAGACATGCCCAAAACCTCCTAGTTGGGGTAGAAGGGCGGGCTTTATTGCCGTACGTATAACCCTAATGGCGTAGTCCTCTGAGGGGCGCTCTGTGGATAGAATCGCCTGACTCTGGTACGGTAAACAGAACAGAGGTACCTTGATAGGCTCGAGCAGTACTAGTTGCTTGAACAATCCGGAAACAGCAGCCGGAGATCGAGCTCTGCCAGGTTGCATAGTAACTGAAGTGTGGATAAGGTATGGTGCTTCCTAAGCTGATTAATGATTCGGGTTCATCAAAAATTTATATAACTGAGGTCAGGTGGTGGTAGGCAAGACGAGGTCGCATGGGACGATGTGACTGTTTCGATTCTTGGCGCGGCAAACATTTTTTTTACGAAATCGAAATTTTGATAAAAGAACAAGGGGATCGTTTTCATGTCGTAGATATCTATGGGGCCATTCTGGAACATACAGAGCTTGTATGCATCCGAATCCATTCCAGATTCAGAATTCGTCCTCAGAGCATGGCACAAATTGCACTGACAACTGTTGCCTTGTGAGGTTATTTTTCCCCTTATAGGAAGCTCCCGTGAAATTGTTGTCGACATACAAGAAGCCTGACCGGTTGCTCTTTTTTTGAGAGCGATTCTGGGTGATATTGAAAAAAAGGATAAGGAAGGCATTCAGGAAAAGGGCAACTTTTTACTATCTCTAATCTAGTTATCAACAAGTAGTGTGCTTCAAATAAAAAGCGCTCATTCGTAATCTTATTTGGTACATACTGCTCAAAGGCATAGATCATGATGAAAATGGTTTCAGAGATGTTCAAAACCTGTGTTCTCCAAGTATGCCATATGAGGGACTGTCGCGTCGAGGAACGACCTTTGTAGAGCACAATAAGGGTTTAAAGGCAGGCTTCGTCGACACATACACCCAGAAACGGACGAGTATCCTCGGCATTGTACAGGCTGCACTATTCACAGCGAAGCAATCACATATGTCGGAAATTCAAATAACTGGATTTGTTTCATGGCGGCAAGGGAAGGCAATTTTGGCGTACGTAGCCCCACGCAATTGCCAGGGCTGAAATCTCGTCATATGCTCATTGCATGCAATTTTCGTCATGGAACTCTCGTAGCCCCCCCCCCCCTT